GTCCTCTTGTCCACTGAGCCACGGCTGCTGAGAGCGTGGTTTGGAGCACAGGCCTCCGAGCCAGACTTGGCCTCTAAGCTGCTGTGCAGCCCTCAGCCTTTGCTCCCCCTGCCTCAGTTTCCTCATGTGTACAGTGGGGATCGTTGTTCTGCTCTCATGAGATGGTCGGAACACACATCCTGTAACCTTCAGCACCACCTGAGAAGGAGGGAACCATTTTATCCCATTTTAAAGACAAGGAAGGAGAGGCTCAGAGAAGGCAAGCCACTTGCCCAGGGGCACACAGCGAGGAGTCAGTCTTAGAAGCTCTCTCCTCAGCTGTGTCTGGGGATGATGTGAGTGGCGTAGGACCTGGCACACTGTCGGTGCTTAGGAAATACCGGCCATGCCCTTGCTGCGTTTGAATCGGTGCTGATTCGGCTTGGGGCCTGTTTTTCTTCCTAAGTGTCTTATGAAGACGTGAGCCCTCCAGCCGCGGCCTCCCTGTCAGAATCTGACGCCGTCCCGCCCCCTGTGCCCAGCCCTTGCACCCTTACCTGGGAGGCCGGGGTCCTGGTTTCCCTTCCTGAGAGGAGGCAGCTCAGGCAGAGGGGCACCTGGGCCCCCGGTATTCGACCCGGTCTGCTGCCCTCTCTCCAGGCCGGCGGGTGGCCTGTGAGGGGGCGGCCTCAGTCTGAGCCGGACTTTCCCGTGACCTTCTGGGGCGGCCCCTCTTGGAATCAGCGCCCAGGGTGGGGGGCACCATGGCCCGGGGGACCCGCAGTAGTTGGGGCCGAGCCTGGCGGGCCTCGAACCTGAGTCTGTGGGGCAGGTGGAAGCACGCTGCACCCCCCGGGCGGGGTTGCCTGGCGGTAAGAGCTCAGGCTGCAGGCTCGGCCGGCCCTGGGTTCGGGTCCTGGCTCTGCCCGCAGCAGCCGGGTGACGTGGGCCCGTGACATCGTCATTCAGAGTCTCCACGTCCACCCTGTGTGCTGGCGATTACAGCTTCCCAGGTCTCACGGGTCGGGAAAGGACAGGTGCACAGTAGGCCCTCGGTGGGCAAGAGCGCCTGCAACTTGTTAGTGTCTCTGTGTGCTGTCTCCCAGCCCTGGCCTAGTGCCTGGCACACAGTAGGCGCTCAGTCCCTGCCTGCTGAGGTCGGAGCACGGCCTTCTCCTGTCTTTCCTGAGCCTCTCGGAGACCCTGAGCTCTCGGGCTGCAGAGGTGGCTGTTCCCCGAGCACAGCAAGCTCCCTGCTCAGGAGGAAGTTTCTGGGGGACAGAATGTGTCCCTCGTCCCAGCTCTCGGTTCTTGTTCCCGAGAACATCTTGCTGCTTTTGCTAATTGATCCAAAAACGGGGAAGTGCAGCTGCCGTGGTAGAAAGAAGCACATTGACCAACCCCAGGCAAGGCCACAAGACAGAGACCCCCGTGGGGTCACCCCCGCCTCCCCAGGACTCCGAGGCGAGGGTGGCCATGTCTCAGGGCCTCTGCCCCCAGAGCCGGCGGGCAGCCTGGTGGGAAAAATAAGGCGGGTCCCCGGCCGCCCGTTTCCATTTTGGAGGAGGCCAGGGTGCAGCTTCCTCCGGAGGGGCCATCATTACAGGTGGCCTGGCCCCGTGGGAAATGCCACTTTCCACCTGGGCTCGGGGCCGGCCTGATGGAGAAGGGGGAGGAGCTGCTGGCTGTTTCTAGAAAGATCTCCTTTCCGGATGAGTTTTTTCTCCCCTCCCATTGAGGGCATCCTGTGTCGTTAAGTGATGATCTGAGTAAGAATGTGACAAGTCAACACAAGGAAGTAGCCTGGCCTTGGTTTGTAAATAATCCGGGATTGACTTGTAGGATCAAGTCATTTCTGTTTGTTTGGTTTTCACATCAGAATTCTTGTCCCTGTTGCCTTGGAGACAAACCTAGTGAGGGGGATGCTGGGAATTAAATGACTCGGGTTCAAACCTCAGCGATCCCTCCATTTCACACAGTCGGCATCTCAAGTGGGGAGACCAACGGGTAAACTGAGTCCCAGCCCGGCGTGCTAATAATGCGGTGGGGGTAACATGGCAGGGTGGGAGCCCAGAGGCGGCCCAAAGAGTCAAGGAGTCTTCTTGGAGGAGGGTGTCCCTAAGCTGAGCTGTGAAGGACAATAGATGCCGACCAGGTGAAAAAGGGGTGGAATGGTGTCCTAGCCAGAGGGAACAGCACGTGCAAAGAGCTGAACAGGAGACAGCACAGCGTGTGCCTAGATGGCAGTTTGTCCTGTTTGGCTGGGGTGGAGAGGAGCTGGGGGAATAGGGGTGACATGAGGCCAGAGACCCTGTCGCAGTCCAGAGAGTGAGCGGCTCCTATGGGAACCTGCCTCAGAGTTACCCGGGGGCCTGGAACCACCGTCCACTTGGACCTCGTTCAGACCTGAAATGAGAAGGTTGGCCTGGGTTCTCTCGCTGCTGCCGTCCCCGTGCTGATGTCTAGGGTCCCGAGATTTCTCTGAACATGGACACGAGACGAATGAGAGTGGAATTCTGGAGTGTTTTCCATGTGCCCGGCAAGCACGGTCTCTGTCCTTCCTTGCCACCTGGGAGGGCGTGGGCCTTACCGCCTCCTCTTTATGACCTGACAGCCGTGTCTCGGGGGATGGAGGACGCGGCCTTGGACGGAGCCCCTGAGCCATCGGCCGGCCCTCCACACGCGTCCTCCATCCGAGGAGGGGGGAAGGAGGTATCCGCCAGGTCCCCGCGTCACGTGGTCCCAGGAGGTCACCTGCAGGCCAGCTGGCAGGAGGGAGAACAGCCGGGCATATCCCGCTGCAGGCATTTCCTGACCCCGCAGGTCTGGGGACCGCCCGGGGGGCCGCCCTCGCGCACGGGGCCTGGGGCAGAAACGGCCGTCTTGAGGGGTCTTCGAGGGGTGGGAAGAGTCTGGCTGCTGCCCTGGGAGGAGGGCTTTCTGGGTTCAAGTCCCAGCGCCCCCATGCCAGCTCAGTGACCTTCAGCTCCTTCACCCTCCCTGTCTTTCTCTGCGGGATGGGGGTGATTCGTAAAGGACCCCCCTGTGGGCTTGTGGCAGGTTAAATGAGTGAGATGTGGGGATCAGCTCTCGGTGCAGGAAACCCTCAGTTAACGGTTGTTACCGTTTCCACTGCACCGCCTTCCTCATCCACGTAAGGTTGTACCTTTCTAGGACCCGGATGCACACTCCGGGAATGCCCAAGTTTGGGGGAAGCAGGATAGGAAGCGGGTCATCTAAGTGAGACCTCCTGGGGGAGATTTGGGAAAGGCTGAAGTTTGCTGAAGGTGGTCGTAGGGTGCAAGGGGCTCCAGTAGGGATGGGAGAATAGGGGAAGGCAGCCTTAGGCTTACAGCCTTAGGGATACAGCATGTGCAAAAGCCCAGAGGCAAGACTCAATATGGCCGTGCCCCCTGGCCTTAGCACATGCTGTTCTCTCTGTCAGCCTTCTTGGAGTACTCCTATTCATACTTCAAAACCCCACCTTGTCTAATCATAGATCCTCAATAAATGATCATCTTCCCTTTGCTCTTATTTCCTCAACTTTCCACCTTCTCAGTTGGGTTTCCCTTCCTCCAGTCATGTTCCCATAGCCTGTTATTCACTTGTCCGACATGGCCCTTGGCACTTGTATTGCAATAGTTCATTTTTTCCAGCTGTTTCTTCCACTGGACCAGGGATTCTTCAGAGTGTGCATGTTTGTATCAGCTTTTGGGAAGAAAATGGTGTAGCCTCAGGTTTGAGGCGGCCCGTTGGGACAATGTCTGAGGCCCAGAGGCCAGCCCAGAGCTCACACAGAGCAACTGTGCAGGGAATGTTTGTTGAATGAATGAGTGACCGACACTCTGCTTTCCTTAACCGCGCACGCTTGTCTGGAAATGGTGATGTCCGGGCCCCGCCCCACACATGGCTAAAACCCCCATTTCTGCCCCGGCTCTCAGCAGCTCCTCCAGCATCTTTGGGATTCATTATGTAAGGAGATGGCTTGCTTTCCTTTTTGAGGCCCAGCCACGTCCCAAGAGTTTCCTGGAGAGAACAGAGAGTTTGCAGAACGAGTCCTCCGGGGGGAAGTGCTTGTGCTGCCCCAGTTTTCAGGGAGCAACGCTTTTTATAGTCAGACGTTCAGACCGCATTGTCCCCAGGGGGAGCCAGGAGGGAGCCAGCTGCCAGCTGCCTTTTCTGCTCACTCTGCCCCCATCGCCCCCTCGTGGAAGGAGGCGGAACTGTGGGGTCCTGCCTGCCACGCGGGGCACCCTCTGCCTTGTCGAAGGTGCGAGGCTGGGGGTAGTGGACTCCACCAGATAACGGCTGTGTGCCCTTGGGCCGGTCACTGCACTGCCCTCTGCCTCCGCTTTTCCATCTGCAAAATGGGCATAATAATCATAGTCCAAACCTGGGTTCCTTGTTGGGAGGAGCAGATGATGTCATGCAATGATGTAATACACTGCCCAGCACACAGTGAGAGTGGGACCCGTGGCATCAGTGACAATGATGAGTTCGATGATTTCACCTCTGAAAATCAGAAAGGTTAAGTAACTTACCCTGGGTCACCCAGCTGATAAAAGCTACGGGCAGGTCTCCAAACCCTTAACCCCGATACCGTGTTGATTTAGCAAATCCAGGGCTGACACTAGAGCAAGATGACTGGGGTACACACCTAGGGTGTGAAATTTAAGGGGGCACCAAAACAGGAGAGTAATCAAGATAAATAATACTATAACGCTGTAGTTTTAAAAAAATCAAAATTAATACAAAACTCCATGCTGAACAGCCATCAACCTTATAAATAAAGACGGGATCGGTGTTACTGCTGTTTCCTTTTGCCTCTGACGTCAGTATGGCTGGGCACAGCCCGGAGCAAGTCCCTTTTTGTTGGACAATTAGGTTCTTACTGTATGTATATATATGACTGTGACAAACATCCTTATAGCAAAATGTTTGTGTCGCTCACTCTCGCTTCCAAAGGCAGGTGGGTGGATGTGGTGTCGGACCTGAACTGCAGGCAAAAAAGGGCAGGTGCATTCTCCTCGCCCGCGAGCTTTTATTATGAAAAATTTCAAGATACAGGAAAATTGTATGGGGAACACTCATATACTGACCAGCTAGATTCTGCCATTGCTAACATTTTGCTAGATTTGCTTCATAAAAATCTAGCCATCCATCCATCCCTTAATACATTTAAAAAAAATTTTTGCTGCATTTCAAAGTAAGTAAGAGGCATCAGCACGTGTCCGCCCCACGCCTCAGCGTGTGTGTTATTAACTGACAGGCCATCACTTTTAAGACTTTTGATGTTGGGTGTTCAATTCCCTTCATGAAATATATACCGATGTCCATTTCCATCTGCTGTGGGCTGCGTGTCTCTTTCCCCACAGCCTGGCCACCACCGGGTAGTCTCATTTTAAAGGTGCTTTGCTTTGACTTTTTTCCTCCCGGCACTTCCCAGGTGACCTCCCATCTCTGTGTCCAGAAGGTCTGTTTAAAAAGCCGCATCCCTTTCTAGCTCTGTAGGTATTTCCCGTGCCGCTCTCCTGGGCCTGGGTGGGGAGGACTCGCTCTTTGTCGGGAATGCTCCCACCTGGAAGTCCCCTGGCCCTCCGGGTGAGGGAACAGGGCTGTGAGTGACCTGCCTGCTGCGGGAGGCTGACTGAGGACCCTCCATGCGAGGACACGGGAGAATCAGAAGCCCTGGGACGCTGGAGGCTGTCGAGGTGATGGGTGCGGCCAGACACTATGCAGGCGGGACATGGGCCCGTGCACACTTCCTCCTCTGCATGATGGGTTGGTGCTTCCTAATATATGGGACCCACAGGCTGCCGCGAGAGCCCCTTGTCGCCCTCCCTTTTGTCTCCCCCCATTCTGCCCCGGTCCTTGGCTTCCTTATGGGCCAGGCACTATCCTGCCTCTGACGTCTGCATCTCTTGTGGCTTCTGTGGGGCAGCTTGGCTGGGGGCTCTGGCCCCGGGTCCCTCCCGAGGTTGCAGTCAATGTGTCGGCTGGGGTAGTGGTCATCTGAGGGTCTGACCTAGGATGGAGGGCGGCTCACTCCCATGGCTAGCGAGTGCGTGCTGCCTGGTGGCTGGGCCCTCAGAGTCCCTCCAGGTGGGCCTCTCCACAGGGCTGCTGGAGCATCCACCCAGCATGGCGGCCGGCTGCCCCCAGGGTGATCTGAGAGCAAGGCGAGAACTCTCATGCCTTCAATGACCTGGCTTTGGGAGTCACACACCCTCACTTCTGCCTTATCCTCTTGGGCACACAGACAGCCCTGATTCGTCGTGGGAGGGCACCGCACCAGGGTGTGAATAACAGGGCAAGGATCACTGGGGCCGTCTTGGAGGCTGCCCGCCACATTGGACAACCTTGGAGGGTGACGTCACCTCTCTGGGCCTCAGTCTCCGCCTCTGTCAGATGGGTTCATTGGGGATTCACGAGTTAATCCCCTGAACACATAGAATGGCCTCGGAGACCCAGCTACACCCTCCATAAGTGTTGGCCACCGTTCCGTTGTCCTGCCAGCTGCGAGCCCACGACGACAGGGACGGTTCAGGCTCTGCGTCCGGTGCCTGGCCCAGAGCAGGCAGGCTCTGAGTGTTTAAGCGAATGAATGAGTGAGCGAACAAGTGAATGAGCGGCATAGGGACTGGGAATCCAGAGAAGAAAAGATCTGTGTCAGCTGCATTGTCAGACACGCTCCCGTGAGAGTCGTTCTCAAGTGAGGCCCTTTGATCAGTGACGAGGGAGCAAATATTTGTTCAACACTGAGGTGACGTGGGTGGGAGAGAGCCCTCAGGACGCCGTGCGACCTGTCAAGGTTTCAGTCTTGGACTCGGCGTTCGAACAATAAATATTTACCAAGCTCCAGCCCTGGGTCAGGCACCGTGTCAGACCCAGAAAACAGTGGGGAGGGAGCGGTCTCTGTCCGTGCCCCCGTGCTACCCTGGCTGTGTGACCTTGGGCACTTGAATCTACGTCTCTGGGTCTGCATTTCCTCGTCTGTAACACGGAGGGGTGGATCCCTGCCAGAAGGAGAAAGCATTTCAGCAAATGTGCCTCCGCTCTGGGATCCGGTGGCTGCTGTCCCTTGCTAACAGCTCCCTCCCCCCCGCCCCAAGAGGAGAGGAGCAGCCGGTCTGGTCTCAGATGCTGCTGTGCCCTCCTCCCCTACCCCCCACCACTCCAGCTGCACAAGGGTTAAAACCCAGGAGTCCATGTGACCCAGCGTAAACCATGAATCATCCCCATCCCGCGCGCTCCCGATCCCGTACGGGGCCGCCTCCCCAGGATGGGGCCGATGCTGCGCCCCGCGGTTGCCATGGCAACCCAGCCTGCACCGAAATGGCCCGGTTCCTTCCTTGGGGGACCTCGGGCCCGTTTCACCTGGCTCTGGGGGGGCTTTCCAGGGAGGGAGGGAGAGCAGACTGGAAAGGAGGGAGGGAGAGAGAGAGAAGCTGAGACACAAACAGGTGGAAATGGAGACACAGGGAGCGGGCGGGGAGCGAGCCTGACACAGAAACACAGAAACGGACCACCAGAGGGAGACAGGCGGGCAGCCGCCCGAGGTCCCGAAGCGCCGCCTGTCACCCTCGAGGCAGCAGCGGCTTCCCAACTGTTCCAGCCTCCCCTGGGCCCCCAAATCCCCGACACACACGCACACACGCGCCCGCGTGCGCACACGTGCACCGCGGTTCCTCGTGCGCCCGCGGCCAGGGCACGGGGCGGGCAGGCTGTCGGCTCGTGAAGTCACCGTGAGCCCCGCGGGACGGTGAGCGAGTTGGGACTTGGGAGAGGAAAAAAAAAAAAAATGGGGGCGGGCGTCAGCTCCCTGGGCGGCCGCCTCCCTGAGGCCCGTCCTGCGTTCCTGGGCAGCGAAGCCCCTCGCCAAGACGGGGACTGATGTCATCCTGGGCTGCTCAGCCAGGGCACCCGGGGGCCCTGGGGGCTGCCTCCGGAAATGAGCTAACTGCCTGCCGGCCTACAGGTTTGGGATCTCTGGCCAGAGGACGGGAGCCCCGCAGGGGCCAGGTGAGCAGGGCGCAGCCTTGGGCAGCCGCGCAGGGGGCAGCGGCGGGGGTCAGCCCGCCCACCGGGTCCTTGCGCCGTGCGCCCGGGAGGGGCCGCCTACCTGCGGGACGGTGAGGACCAGGGCGCCCAGGGCCACCGCCTCCTCCTCCCCCGCCCGCAGGGACTGTCACGCCCTGGGGCGCGCGCGGCTCCTCCAAGCTGCTCGTCCCCGGCCGGGAACCGGAGCCTGGACCGCCCAGCGTGTTGACTCGGCGGCTCCGCGCGCCGTGTGGACTCCCAGCCTGACCCTGACCTGCCTCCCGATTCGCGGCGAGCCCCGCGGATGCAGCCGGTGGCTGGCTCAGCAATGTTTATTCACTCTTGACTGGACTGGAGAGGGCGGCCGGTGCTCCCCGGAGCCCAGAACTTCCAGGAGCGGAAAGGAGGAGGGGGAGGGGCAGGCCCTGCGCTCCGGCCGCCTGGCCGCCCGGCCCCATGGATTACCTGGGGGACAAGCTCTCCGTGGCCCAGACCCACATGACCCAGTGGATGGGCACCGTCAGGAGGTCCTTCCAGGAGGCCCTCAATTTAGTGACCAGCACGGTGGGCCCCGAGCGGCCGAGCGGGGAGCCCTCCGGTGGCCGGACCCCCTTCAAGCGCGCCGCGTCCTTCCGACACCTCGCCTCCCGGAGCCGAGAATCCTTCCGGCGCTTCTCCGCCCGCAGCCAGCAGAGGTTTTCTTCCTTGAGGAAAAGGCAGACGGAGTCGGAGCCCCCCGATATTGTAAGCTTGTTATGTTTTTTTTAAATATTAAAACAACAGTAAAAGCTCCTCCCCTCCAGGGTCCCATAGATCCAGCGGGGGAAGTTGCCTGTTCCGAATAACTGTCAGCCAAGCCCCCCCCCACTCCCTGTTTCTGTCCCCCTGCTTGGGGACGGGCAGGTGGTGGTGATTCCCCTGATAGGGGCGTCTCCCTCTCTCCCAGCCTGGCCGGGAAGTTCACACCGGATCCAGCGTCCGTGTGGACAGGGCCAGCGCACGAGGTGGGCCAGCTTTGCCAGCTGACTCGTCTGTAAGTGCCGACACTCTGGCCCCTGACACAGATGCTGGTCCTCCCCTATTTTTAGAGACGATTAGCTGGCACCTGCTGCGTCTCCTCTCTCCCTCCCAGGGTGAGCGAGTGTCCGTGTCATGTGCAAGTTGACTTGTGGCTTTTGCCATCTTGTCGTCTGATCACCCAAGGCGGTGGGCGGGTTTGCCCCCTGGCCTGTGACCCTGGGCCTGGGTGTGAGTGGGCCAGAACTGGGCCCCCAGGCTGGGTGCTGGGGTTCCACCGTCTCTCCCTCGGGCCAGCTTGCTGGGGCCTGGGGACCAGGGCGGAATGACATCTAATGATTAAAAGCTCGGCCTGCATCCTGCAAGGGGACTGTGCAGAATCAATCTCAGGTACCTCACTGGGGATTTAGAGAGGTGGGAACGGGCCCAGAGAGGGAAAGGCCCTGCGTGGGGTAGCACAGCGAGTGAGTAGCAAAGCCAGGGCCAGAACCCCAGGCTCTAATCCCCATTCAAGGATCTTTCCAGCCAAGCTCCTGGTAAGATGGTTTCTCCAGACCGTCCTGAGAACTTCAAGGGAGCGCGCGTCGCTGATCAGGGCTGAACTCAAAGAGCGGGCCTGGCGTTTTCACAGGAGAGACCTCTGCCACCTGACTGTGTGGCTCGGTTCACAGGAGACTGAAGACAAGGAAGGGCTAGGCCAGCTCCTCCCCTGGGCTCAGCCTTGCGATGAGTCCCAGTGGTCATTACGGGTCCCAGCGTTTAAGGATGGAGCCGTGGGGTGCACCTGGCTCTGAGCCGACCCTCTGTGCACTCGAGGTCACCGAAAGCTCACGTCTGCCCTCAAGGGGCGGGGACCCGACATCCCCCTCGGTTGGCCCAGAGAGGTGCGGTGATTCTCCTGGGGTTGCACAGCAACCAGAGAAGTTGGGTGCAAAGGTGACCTCTCCTTCTCTCGTGGGCCTGTGCTGCTTTGTGGCCCCGGATGAATCATTGGGGCCTGAATTTATGAGACAGGTCCCCCATCCCAACCTCTGGAAGGGGTGACTTGGCCCACGGAGGAAAGGCCGCTTGTTCCATCTTTCTGTTCCTCTGTCTCTCTTTCTCTCTCTGTCTCTGCGTGTGTCTCTCTACCTCTCTCTCTCACTCTTGTTCCCTCTCTGGCAACGTGCTGGAAGGCATAGGGTTTGGTAACACTCTGGTCTGCCCCCTGCCCCCCGGAGCCGTGTGACCCTGGGCATTGGCCGGCGTCCCCCAGGCCTCGCTGCCCTGCGTGACATGTCAGTGCCGCCGACAGGACCTGCCCCCCTGCCCCAGCTTGGTGAATGAATGAAGGAAGTTCGGCCCTGCCGCTCACTGTCACCCCGCAGTGCCCCCAGCAGTGTGAATCTGTGCTCGATAAACCCGGGCGTCAGCCTCCTTCCCATTCGGCTTTTGGCATCTCCTGAGTGGTGGGCACCGCTGGCCTCAGGCTTGAGAGCTTAAATCGGACCCTGCCACCACATCCTGTCTGAGGGAACTTGACCTGCTCTCAAGCCTCAGTTTCGTCTTCTGTCAGATGAGAACTCGAGGGCGTCCTGCGGTTGACACGGGCCCCCCGGGGTCCCGGGCACGTAGCAGACGGGTGCTCGTAAATGCTGTCTCTTGGTTGGGCGCCATGGTGTTCTGACTCGACAGGATGAGGGCAGAGTTGGGATGGGGACAACTGCTCTGTGGCAGAGGGCCTGAATTTGAAGCCTGGCTCTGTCACCTCCTGGCTGTGTGCCCTCGGGTAGACTCCTCCCCTCTCTGTGCCTCAGCTTCCTCATCTGTGAGATGGGGATTACCACCGTCTCGTGTTTGCATCTCCCCTCGTGATCCTCCACGGGCGTCCCCGTGCCAGGAAACACGGGATGTGTGCGGCTGTGCTTAGCATGGGGTAAGTGCACTTAAAAGTTAGCTATGGCGACAACCAAACCTTTTCTCTCCAACCATTCCCTCCAGGATCCCCGGGGAACTGGAAAATCCACACACGCCCCCTTTCCTCGGGGACTTCACTTAAATATTTGTTTTGCGGGAGGAGAATTTCTAGAATGGCAGGATCCTCGCTGTGCTGGGAGGGGGCGGGGCCTCAGACTCTGGGCCCTGAACTTGGACGTGATGTACCTGAGTAATCCGCACAGTCCCAGGTCCGCCTCGGGCTCTGTGTACTTGGAGCAGCGCAGAGGACTCTGTCGCAGGCGCAGAGGAGCCCGCAGAGGCTGGCCCTGAAATGTTCTCGAAAGCCAGCCTTGGAATAATTTGCTGGTGGCCTCCCTGCGCCCCCGCCCCCACCCCAGGAAGAAAAGAGGGGAAGAGGGAAAACAAACTCATTGTCTCTGCGCGACAAAGGCAGGAAGAGGCACGTCGTGCAGCAGCCCCGTGTGAACGGAGAGAGAAGCCCGGCAGACTAGGTGGACTCCAGGCAGAGGCCGGACAGAAGATTCCAGAACCCAGGGACAATGGCAGTGCCACGGAGGCCGAGGCTGGAACAAAAGTGGGAAGTGAGGGTCCCCACAGGCCTCAGGATGCTCTGCCAAGAGGGTTCTGGAGTCCGACAGACTCGGGTTCGAGTCTAGGGTCCACCGTCCTTGCAGAGTGACCCTGGGCGGGTTAAATTGCCTCTTTCGGCCTCAGTGTCCTCGTCGGTACGATGGGGACTCGCCTAGGACTTGTCTGGCAGGTGGTGCAATGGGACAGAGCAAGTGAGAACCAGCACGGCCCGCACCTGTTAATACCCAGCCTCGGAGAAGCGCTCAGTGACTGTGCATTTCACGTCGATTTTGGGTGGGGTTGGGGGGGTGGAGGGGTGGGTTGGGGTAGGGGGGCACTGGTTCAGACTGTGGATGTGAGTCCCACCTGCCCAGATGGCCAGGCTGCTGCCTTGGGAAAGAGGGTGAAGACCCGGCCGACCGGTCGTGGCCGTTTACCGTGCTCTTTGCCGAGCACAAGGCGGACATTCATTATTTGTGCATCCTTGTTCCTTCTCTCACCTTTTCATTTCACGAGCACTTGTCAGGTGCCCACCAGGGTGCTGGCCCTGGGGAACCGGCTGTGAACAGAGCAGACCCAGCTCCCACCCTCCTCGAGCTACCGTCTAGGGGGCAGGGGGTAAAAACACGCCCCCATGTAAATATGTAATATTTGTGCTGAAAACGAGGGAACTGTCTTAAAATATGGAGGGCCTGTCTGTAACATCAAACTCCTGCCGTGTATCAGTTTCTCAGCCTCACCACTCTTGATATCTTGGGCCAGATCATTCTTTGGGGAGCAGGGGGCTGTCCCGCGCTCTATAGGGTCACCCCGGCCTCTCCCCACTAGACGCCAGTAGCACTCCCAAGTCATGACAGAAATGTCTCCAGACTTTGCCAAGTGTCCCCTGGGGGCAAAATCGCGCCCCGTCCCCAGTTAGGCTGTATATCATTTGGTCCGGGGGACGTCAATTGCACCTGGACTATTCCCCCCGTGACCTGACCCCGGGATCTGACGTACATCAAGCACATCCTGCTTGCCAGGAGCCCGTCTCGTCGAATCTGCACAGCTGCCCCTGAAGGAGATGGTGGCGGCCCCGTATTTCCTGGATGAAAAATCTGAAGCACAGAGAGGTGAAGTCACAGGCCTGGGGCCACACAGCGGGGATCGGTGAGGCTGGGGCTCCAGCCCTGCCATGTGTTCGCCTCGGCGGGCCCACGACATCGCCCTGCACTGGGGATTCACTGTGCGAGCGTCGGCGCCGCGCTGAGTGTTCAGTCCAACAGCCGAGGCTGCGTGGGAGTATTTGGTTCTGCATCAATTATGGGTTGAAATGGATACTTAAAATATTCAGCAGGGCTGAGCGTCTCCCCCGACACACACACACACACACACGCGCACACACACACACACACTCCCTCCCTCCCTCTTTTTTTAGCAAGTGGGAGAGAATTTGAAAGGGAAGGGACGGTTGTGGCTCTCGTCTTTGGAAGCCCCGATTTCACTCATTACCCACTTGGTGTTCGTGTCTTCCAGCTGCCTTAATAAATTAACACAAAACTTGGTGGCTGAAAACAAGGGAGATATGTTCTGACGGTCCTGGAGGCCACAAGTCCAAGATCTAGGTGCCGTCAGTTCCCTGGAATTCCGGGGGACGAGCCCTTGTGCCTCTTCCAGCCTCTGAGGCTGCAGGTGTCCCCGGCTTGTGCTGCGTCCCTCCGGTCTCTGCCCCATCCTCACATGGCTCCTCCTCTTCTTCATCTTCTCCTCCGTGTCTTACAAGGACCCTGGTCATTGGGTTCAGGGCCCAGTGGGTAATCCACCATGATCCTGTCCTGAGATCCTTAACTTGATGACATCTGCGAGGACCTTTTTTCCGTTTAAAGCCACACTGAGAGGTGCCCGGGGTTAGGATGTGGACGTGTCTTTTGGGGACCACTATTCAACCTGCTACATCCTCCTCCCGGCTTCCACTCTAGCCCCTTCCCCTCCAGTCCATTCTCCACCCAGCAACCCCAGGGGCCAAGTCATCCCCCTGCCTCACCCCAGACTTAGGAAACTCCAGCTTCTTACTGCGGCCTGCAGGGCCCCGTGGGGTCTCCCTTGCCTCTCTCTCGACCTCAGCTCTTACTGCTGTCCTCTGGGCTCACTCTACTCCTGCCACTCTGACCTCCTGCTCTTCGCCAGTCAACGTGCACTCCTTCTGGACATGGAACCTTTGCCCACATGGTTCCCTCTGCTGGGAACAGCGTCCGGCATGTCTAGGAGCTTATGTCCTGCCTGCTCCCTGAAACCCACTCTCCTTTATTGTGCTGTCCACTCATTTCATAGATGGGCAAACTGAGGCCCAGAAGGGAGAAGTGACTTGGCCCTGGCACACGCCTTCTAAGAGCTGACCACAAGATGCCAGCCCGGGGCAACGCAGGATGGAAAACCTGAGATGTAATGGTGATGAAAACCATTTGCTCATTCCTGAGGGTTTTTTTTATCCAGGATCTCAGTGTGCCGGGAGAGGGGTCCCTGCCCCCAGGGCTCACAGGAACAGGGTGATGCAATAAACGAAGAAGTCAATGAATGAATGAACAGATAGTCTCAGGTCATTCTAGTGCTCTGGCAAACAGTGGGTGCGGGGCCTGGCTGGCGGGCACTAGGAAGGGTGGCGAGGGACTCGTCTCAGGGGGCGACGTTTCAGCAGAGACCTGAAGGAAGCGAGGGACTGAGCCTTCAGAATTTTGGAGGAAGAACATTGCGGCAGCAGGAAAAGCAGGTGCAAAGACCCTGAGGCAACCTGTGCCTGGCACATTTGAGGAGCAGCAGGGAGGCCAGACGGCTGTGGCAGAGTGAGTAAGCGGGAGGGGTAGAAGGTGAGTTCAGGGAGGCGAGGCCAGGTGGTGATGGGCCTGGCAGCTCTGGTAGTATTGGAAGGCCTACTGTGTGTCAGCCACAGGTGGTCCCATTTCTCCTGGAGAAACGTCCAGCTGCCATGACCCCTCCTGCCTGCCACTGCCCGCCCAGAGCCCCACTAGGTGTCCTGGCCTCAGGCTGCCCTCAGGGCGTGGAGCTGGGGTGCTGGACTTAAGTGAGGTCGCTGCCCGCTCCGCCACGCTGTGGCTGGCCAGGGGATGGCCTCTGTCTTGTGTGCTGGCCACATGCAGTCCCAGTTCTCCTTTTTGGGCCTTCAGGCAGCAGCGTGATATCAGCGGAGAACAATGGGCCCTTCACGGGTCCAGCCAGAGGCTGGGCTGGGGCCTCTGGGAGAGACCTGAGTGACGCGCAGGGCAGGACACGGCTGCACAGGCTCTCTGTGTGGAATCATCTCCTCCCCCCTCCGCCCGGGGGAAAAAGTGGGGCGTGCTCATGTCATATTTGGAAAGCACAGAAAAACTGAACAAAAACAAAATCCACCCATTATTCTAACATGGTGAAAACCACTCTTGGCATTCAGATGCCTTTCCTTCCTGTCTTTTTTCCTCCCGTTCTCAGACAAAACTGCCAACCTTCTGTTCTTTCTAGTCTTTAAAAAAAACCTAACAGTTTTAAATGTCTTCAGTAAACACCATTTTCGATGCCCGTGCAGCGTGCTGGTCTTTGCATGCTCCATCATTTGTTAACCCCTCTGGCTGGACGTTTGGGTCGTGGCCCGTGGTTTTGGCTGCCAGGAATGACTCTGCCGGGCGGGGTTCAGGCGTGCACATCTTTGTCTTGACTTCTGAGAGGTCCGGGTTTAGACAAGCTCCTTTCTGTCTGCGTGATCCCAGGGCCCTCCCTCACTCTCACCATCTCTCCATTTTTCAGCATTTTCCAGTCTCAGATGTTTTGTTCAGACAAGTGCCTCTCGTTTCCTCGTCGGGAAGTCAGAAATTTCAGGAAGGAAATCTGGATTGATCCATATCACAGAGAATGTTGTATTTTTGGATTTCGTGAAGAATGAGGTCTTTAGCAAGGAGTCATCAAGATCCCTCCCCCCGAGAGGAAATGGTGTTTGGGTTAGTTACGGTGGTCTGCGGGTGAAGGGTCAACAAGCCAGCCTTTGGATGGAGCAGTTTTCTGTTCCTGTGCTGTCAATACCCCGACCAGGGCCCATTGGAAGCCACCAACTAGCCACCACTGGGCAAACTGAGGCCCAGAAGGGAGGCCCACACAGAGCTGGGAAAAGATGCTCAGGACGTCACGATGGTGTAGATTTGTACCGTACAGATTCAGGATGCGTAGGTGACCTCAAGACCGTAGCTAATAGTACAATGTAGTAATGAGGAGGGGCTGCAGTTTGAATATTTCTCATCTTTGCTTTTAATATGATTTATTTAATTGTAAGTTCATGTAATTTATTTTTTAGTAATGGCTGTGTTTAACTACTGGCTCCTGAAAATGTCACAGCTGTCTCCTGGGAGCCAGGACAGGCTAGCTCCAGCACCCCACTGTTTGATAAGAGTGTGAGGTGTGGGGTCTGGGAGCCATGGGCCGAGTCCTGGTTCTGCCTCTCGCTTGCCACGTGCCTTTGAGTCAGAGGCCACGTAGTCTCTGTGCCTCTGTTTCCGCTTCTGTAAGATGGGCCCATGACACCGCATCACACCACAGCTGTGGTGGAGATGGCGTGGAGGTGATGCATGTGGAACGTTTAGCACAGGGTTTGGTGCATTGTGGGATCTCCATAAATGGTTTCTTACCTTTGTCGTCGTTTGTTTGGTGTTTCATAGTTGGAAGGCACATTCAGTCACCAGTGACCAGTAGAACACAGCAAGGGTGATACTGTCATGTCTGAGACCAGGTCACAAAAGACACCACAGCTTGCCTCCCAGTCTCTGTTCCCCTTTCTTGGAGCGCTTGCTCTGGGGAAGCCAGCTGCCATGTCTCGAGGACACTTGACCAGCCCTATCGAGATGCCCACGTGGCAAGGAACTGAAACCCGCCAGCACCATGGGAGCGAGCTTCAAGTGGCTCCTGCATCCTGCAGCTGGAGCTGCACCCCCAGACAACAGCTCGAATCCAGCCTGGGAGACACCCCGAGCCAGAACCACTCAGCCAAGCCCCCCTACATCCTGACTTCCAGAAGCTGTGAGAGATAATAAGTGTTTGTTGTTTAGGACCACTAAGTCTGGGGCTCTTTGTTACACAGCCACAGATAACTAATACAGGTTTCTTCTCGTTGGTCCCAACCACAGCAGACAGTCAGAGGATGGCCAGTGGTGTCCACTTAATCCCTCATCTCACGGATGAGTCAGTGGAAGCGGGAAGAACCTAGGTGCCCACCCAAGGTCTGGAACGTGGGGGCCGTTGGCGTTCCCGTCTCAGGGGCTCTTTCTCGTAAAGCAGGCTGCTCGGCCAGCTGGGTTCAGGGTCCCAGGGGCTTGTGAGCAACTCACCCTTTTAGGAGTTGGCATGAGTCTCCTGGCACGGGATGCAGTCCATTTCGTGGATCCTAAGTGCTCATCATCACCCCATTGAAGTCATCAAACATTCATCGTCAAGGCTGGGCCGTAGGCATGGTACCCACGCATGGCTTTTCTCCAGCATCAGTTTCTAGGTCAGAGGAGTCCTCTTGGATCGTCCTGCTCCGTTGAAGGGAGGGTCCTAAAACATAGCTGTCACCAAGAATTAACAGTTGCAAAGTTTGTGGACAGTTTTTACTTTTGCCTTTTAAACATGGATTTGGTGTCTTTGGCTGTCCTTTCTTGATGGAGAAAAAAAGGATGCGGGTAGAATTAAGTCAGTCGGTTAAGAGCGTGACTCTCCCTTCAGAGAGATCTGAGTTTGAATCCCAGCTTTGCCACTAACTAGCTGTGGGATCCCGGACAGGTGACTTTACTTCTGTGAGCCTCAGATTCCCTCTGAGCTACTTACACAGGGCCTGGAGCCTAGAAGGTGCCTAATAAGTGTTAGCTGCTGGTGTTCTCCTTATGACCTTGATGTATGAGTTGGATTAGGGTGTGTTAGGCTGCTGTGACAAGCTGCCGGCTCTCAACTCCCCCCACCTCCCCTGCAAAAAACGTTTCTCTCTTGCTCACGCACAGGCCACCGCTGGTCCAGTGGCTCTCTGCAGCTGCTGCCGCTCCAGGCTGTTGGCATCTTGTAGTAAGGCCACCTGGGAAAATGGGACTTCAGTGTCAGAGGGAAGAACCTCGTGGGTGGCACCAAGGCAGAGGCTGTTGTCCCATTTCACAGGTGGGGGAATTAAGGCTTAAAGAGTCACACACCTTGAGCACCTCCCATGTGCCAGCACGTGGTCTCATCGCATCCTTGCAGCCACCCCATGAGGGAGGTGTTATTTTCATCATCCCCGTTTTACAGAGGATAAGACCGAGGCTCGGGGAGAAGTCGTGACCTGCTCAGAGTCACCGTGTTCGCAACCTGGACTGTAGCCCAGGTCTGCCGCTGCCTCACTTCCTGTCCTCCCCATCGGGGCGATGGGCGGAGGGGCCTGGGGTGCCTCTCCCGCAAGGCACCGCGGTGTAGACCAGGGTTTCACACCACGGCAACATTGGCATTTGGCACCCGGTCGTTCTTGGTGTGGGGGCTGTCCTGTGCCTTGTAGGGTGTTCAGCAGCATCCCTGGGCTCTGTCCAGCGTTTCCAGACTTTGTCAAATGTCCCTTGGGGGCAGAATTGCCCGCAGTTGAGAACCACGGAGCCAAGAGATGTGCATTGAAACCCCTGCCAGGCCCTGGGGACCCATGTGGCCTTAGCTGGCAGACTGCGAGTGAAGCCAAAACATTAGGAGTAGGAGTTTGGAATTTCCTAAGTTTTAGGTCAGAAACCTTTGATTCCCGGTGTATTTTTGGGCAACTCTTTCCGCTCTGATAAAACGTTTTTCTTTAACTACGTAACGGAGCAAATAGTGTCTACTGATAGAGTTGTTATGAGGATGTCACGAGATGCTCATCAGGTGCCCGGGCCTGGCACTCGGCACACAGTCTGAGCTTTCCTGTCGTTCTGGTTATGACCTGTTACACGGGTGCCACAGGGCCGTATTTCCTAGCCTTCGAAGACCCTTTTCACGGTCTGTTGAATTCCCAGTCCTGTGTCTTTGGGCCCTGTTTCTAAATATTTGCTTTCTGCCAAAGCCAGAAATTAGCCGGCAGCCCACATTCCTGTCACTCACTGGCCTGATTTCTAGAAACCGCCCTTCCCCGGGCACACCTGTAATTTAGTATCTGTAATTCCTCAATTAGTAGCCAGGATTATGTTCTTTTCCTCTTGGCAATTGCCTTCTGCTCTGGGGAAGGTGAGGGGTGGAGGGGGGCCGTGTTGAGGCAGCTGCCTCCCCACCCACTGCAGACATCTTGGCAGGAAGTGCCTGGAAGGTTCTGGAATCTCTGGTGCTGGGTTTGAAGAGTGTACAAAGGCAGCCACCCTGGTGGATGCTGGGTGAACGGAGCTTCATTATCCATGAGTTTGTACACGAGCCCTGGGAGCAAGTGTGAGCAGGTCGCCAAGGGGCAGGACGCTGGCGTGGAGCTCCTCTTCCGACAGCCGCTCCTGCGCCTTGACTGTCAGAACACCTAGATCATTCCAGTCGACCTCTTTCATGTTACAGCTTGGGAAGCCAAGGCCCAGAGAGGGAAAGAGACCCTCACAAAGTCACACAGCAAGTGGGTGACAGATCCAGGACTGGAGCTTGGGTTTCTAAATTCAGAGTTGGGACATTCAGAGGCCATGCCGTTCTCAACCTTGATGTCCTTCAGCGTTGAGCGGCAGTTGTTTATTGAGCTCCTACTGTCTGCAAACTGCAGTCAGCTGCAAGAGACATGAACCATGAAGAGACGCAGTTCCCGCCTTTGGGAAGTTTTCAGAAAAGCGGTCAAGAGGCGTGTCCCAGCTGCGCAGCTTGAGCCGACCTCTTCTCTAGAGCACTGGTTCTGGGCCTCAGTTTCCCCATCTGTAAAAAGGGAATCATAACGCTCATCTCGTGGTGGGGAGGATTCTGCGTGGTAAGGAGCGTAAGATGCCAGCAGAGTGCCCGGCACGCAGCGAGCGCTCAGGAGCCAGGGCGTAGTCATCATCTTTGCTTCCCTGGACCCCCTGGGCTGCTCACAGCTCCAGGATCACGGTCCCTCCTCCCACCTTTGTGCACCCCCTTCCCTCCGCCTACAAGGACAGAAGAGGGCCAGGGGCTCCGGTGGAGGGTGAAGCAGGTTAAGCCGCTCCTTAAAACTGTGCTGTTTTCCCACCAGAATGCCGCTCCCCCAGGTACTTCAGTTGTCCGGGGAAGGAGGAAGAGCCGGTGGGCCTGGGCGACCCTGACAGAGGCAGCGGCCCCCGCCGCCCTGCCAGCCTCCTGAGCTCCCACTTGGCCCCCACCCCCACTGCAGGACACTCCACTCTCAGCCCCCCCAGCCCCCCCACGGGGTTGCTACTGGATGATCAAAGCCTGCTGGGGTCATTAACAGCCACCGCTGATTGGAAAGGCGGTAAATAAGGTGTTCTGATAGATGACAGAGTGCAGAGCGGCTGGAGATTTTCCATCACCTTCCTTGGATGTGTTTTTCTTTGTTCGTGCATAAATACCAGCCCTTTTGGGGGAGGGATGAAAGAAAGGCGAGGCTGTCAGAGCTCCGCTTAATGAGGTCCCTAATCTTTTCATACGTCGTGGAGCCCCGTGGATTTTCAACAACCCAGTGCCGTGGTGGGGGGAGAATGTCATCCTCCCAGGTTTCTGAGCTGAATTGTGGGGAAGAGTTGGTGCTGCTTCAGTGGGGCCTGCCTGCCAAGGTGGGGGCGGAGGAACCAGCGCGAGAGTTGGGAGAGTCGGGGGCCTGGGTTCGAATCCTGGTGTCGCCACTTCCGCTGTCTTGGACCTCGGCCTGACTTCTTTAAGCTGTGGGCCCCTTGGATGCAAGGGGGCTAAAACGGCGAGGATTGAGCTCAGACTTTGGGGGCCTTGGGTACTGGTTCAGTGAGAAGAGTCCCCGAGGGGGGGTATTACCCATCTGAAGTGGGCCCCAGAATCTGCCTGTGTAGCCTGGGCCCCAGGTGGAGACGGTCCCATGGGCACCAGCCTTCGAGGAACAATCCCTGAGCAGTTCGCTCAGTCAGCAAATATTTGTTGAGGACCTGCTGTGTGCCAGGCACAGTTGGAGGCCCTGGGGATCAAGATAGATGGTCCCGGCCCTCAGGGATGGCATGCCATCACAGCAGGGCACGCTGTGTATTTGCGCTAATGAACGTCTTGTGGAATGAATGAAGGAGTGAACAAATGAATGGCCGCACGAATTGTCAACACTCCTGCTCTGCTCATCGATGTGTCTCCACACCCTGTTCAAAATTCTTTCTAGCAGTTCTTGCTAGACCCCAAAGCGATACTGAGAAGTGTGTGCCTTTCGCGTCCTCAGAGCCCGACAGTACGCCCGGCACGTTTGTGACCCTCAGTAAATATCTGGTGGGTGAATGCATGAATACAGAGACGAATGCATGAATGGACTCTAAGCTCCTGGGGGGCCGCCGGCCGAGTCTGTGGGCTGGAAGACTAGGACTCGGTGGAGCCGTGCTTTCTTGCTAGGACATGGTTTAGAGAGGGCCTGGATTGTAAGTCGGAGTTCCTTGTTCCACAGCAAAGTGTCCCCACAGGGTCGCGGCTTCCTCTCTGAGGACCCCAGAAGACTCAGGGCCTGTGGCAGTCACGTCTCAAGGACACCATCGTCAGTCCTTGACCCTGAGAAAGTCCCGCTTTGTTCTTACTCCCCTAGTTAGTACCCTCCGGGCCACTGGGGTTTTCTGTGGGTGCCCCTGCCCCATCTCTGCACCCCCCACCACGAGCCATCTCTCTGGACCCCAAGATTCTCAGGGCTCTGCTGGGCTCACAGGTCGTTGTTGGCTCGGCCGTGTGGGGTTGGGGTCAAGCACCGTCCCCAGAGCTAATCTGGACCCTGTCTGAACTCATACGAGGGGCCCCAGGGCGCTTCTGAGGGCCTCGCATTCTGACGTGGATGCCATCTCTGCTCATTTATTCAGCTCACCTGTGTTACGGACCTGCTGTGTGCCAGGCACGGGGCTGGGCCGGTTCACGGACCTGACATGCGTTTACCCACGTGGTCACCCCACGGGGTCGGGCAGGAGGGAGACACACAGTAAGCGGCCAGGCCCTTGATACCGGGCCTGGGGCTTCTCCTCGCTGCTTCTGTGCACTTCTGCTCCTGAGAGCGGAGTCGCCACCGTGCTGTGATGTCTCCCCCTCAAGATCGTAAATACCATGAGGATGGGGGTTCTCCCTGGTTTGTCGAGAGTCAGAGAAGGCTAGTTAGTGGCTCAAAGCACAGACTCTGCTGGCTGTGGGACACAGGCAGGTCAATTCTTGCCTCTGGGCCTCGGGTTCCTTATCTCTAAAATGGGGATTAAAACGGTACTTCTGGGGTCGTCGTGAAGAATACATCAGTTGACATTTGCGAAGCACCGAGGACAGTGCCTGGCGTATAGTTGGCTCTGAAAAATGCTTAGTGTGGATACTAACATTTTTATATTCCCTGCTGTGTTATAAGAGTGTTCTAAATAAATGTGTGAAATATCATAAATAAATACTTTGGAGGGACGATTTACATACAGCAACACACATATCTTAAGCATACAGCTTGACGAGTTTTGACAAACGCACACACCCATGCAACCCACACCTCCTTCGAGGTCTAGAACGTCCTCATCCCCCTAGAAAATTCCTTCACGCCCCTTCTGATCTGCCCTCCTTAGCTGCCACTCAACACTTCTTGAATGAATGAGTGAATGAATGAATGAGCTCTGAGATCCACTGGGTTTGATCCCAAACCTGTTTGTGCCGGCTGTGTTTGTCACCATCGTTGCCTAATGTGATCAGCTGTTACATAAGTGTGTGAAATAGGAGTGCACCCAGGAGGGCGGTCACACTGTGGAAACCCAGACACCTTGCAGAGACCCCGTAAAGGCGAATGGCCAAAGAAGACTTGCTGTGCTCTTGGGGTGGAGGAGACAGAGATGGGGGTGAGGGGTCACGGGCACCCCGATGAGCTCTCCACTCAGGATCCCCGTGGGGCTGGGCCTCCCCTCAGAGCTCGGGCACCGCCAGGGGCCTCCCTGGCACCTGCAGCACAGGGGACGCCTCCTCTGGGCGGGGGCCCCTCTCCCTACCACCCTCCAAACCTGTCCCTCCCAGGCAAACAGAAGCCTAGCGTCCCACACCTGCGGACTGTGGGAGGCGCGGAAGCTTCTGGACATGTTCTGCTAGTGGGCTTCATGGGGACGGGGGACCAGGGGGAGAGAGGCGAGCCCAGGGACCCCACATCTCTCCCGCCACACCCCAAACCTGGGTTGCTCTCGATCTTTGTAATTTACTGGACTTCTGTAATTTTGCGTAATGGGATTTTTTATTTTAAGCTGACAAAGGAAAGGGAACGTGGAAAACGGTGGCCGTGGTGCCATCCAGTGCCCTCCATCAGAGACGAGGAGGCGTTCAGACAGGGCTAGCATCTTGCCCATGACACACGGCAACCAGCGGCCGGGGCTGTCCCGAGTCTGGCTTCCAAGCCCGAGTGCTGGGTCCCTTGCCGTGGTCCCAGCTGGTGTCGTCCAGCCCTCGAGGGCTGAGTCCAGGGCCCTGCCTGCAGCCCAAGAGACGCTCAGCATGCTGGTCCCCGTCAGCCTCCAGTGCCGCCCTGGCCCCCGGGCCTGAGCAGGCCCCTGCCGCCTGAGGGCACCTGCTGTGGTTCGGGTCTTTGGTTCGGCTTGCTCCCCTCCCTCCAGGGCCCTACGGGCAGCGCAGGCTGCTCATCCCCTCCCTCGAGGAGGGGAGGAGGTCCCCCTAGGCCCCTGGCTGTGTGGCTGGTCAGGTGAAGGGGCCATTTGCACCGGCTCAGGCTGATGTCATCCTGGGAAACCATTCAGCGCTGGGGCCCGCCTTCGGCCCTGGCCGCCTGCCCGCCTGTCGCCCGTGTCCTGTTTTGTTGTTATGTGGGGCGGGATCAGGGAGGGCCCCGTGGTTCCTGGAGACACAGTCTGCTCCCTGCCATCCGAGAACAGGGTGACGCCATCCCTTTTCTCCCTGAGGCACCTCGGGCTGTGGGGCAGACTGGTTCTGGGGTCAGATCCCCACTCTGCCCCCTCCCGGCCAGGTGGCCGTGGGCAGGTTACTCTGTCCCTCTGCACCCCGGATTCTTCCTCCGAAAGGAGGTGACGGGGGCTCATCTCTGAGGATGACCGAGGTGATGCGTGAAAATTGCTCAGAGCAGTGCCCTCCCTGGAGCGCCCATTAGCCTCGGTTCCGGGGGTGGGGGTGGGGGTGGCTATTATTATTATTGCTTGGGAGATGGTTACAAATGCTGTTTGCATCATTCCAAGAATCGATTTCAGTCAAGCTGTTCAAAAAAAAAAAAGCAGACACACTTGCTCCCTCTTGGACCCCCATTTGTTTTAAATCAATGCGGTTTAAAAAGACGCATAGCATCGTAAGCGGGATTTGGGATGTTTCCAAAACCTTCACTCCGGTAAAGCTCTCAGCCTCCCAATTTGCAAACCATTGTTGGCGAACCGAGGTTCTCAAAAAATGCTGGTGGCTGGGCCCCACCTCTCAAGCTTGGTCTGGGATGCTGTCCAGGAAGCGGGCGTCTCTGAGGCCCCCCAGGTGCCACCAGGGCTGAGAACCGCAGGGTCAGGCAGCGTAACCGAAAGACCATAGGCTTCGGAGTAAGACGGACCCAGGATCGAATCCCAGGGCTGCACTTGGCTCCTGTGCAACCTTGGGCAAGTCCCTACACCTCTCAGAGCCTCGGTTTCCTTATCTGTGAGGGACACTGCTGGGACGGACGGGAGACGCATATGAGTGGTACCTTTTGTGAGGTTGAGGAGTAAAAGGGTGGACGTTTCACACACGTGTTCCCTGGACATCAGGGCGGACAGGGACCTGAGACCCATGTCCAGCCAGCCACCCCCTGCTTGTCACCACGGAGGACCCCTATTACTGATTTCCCCCCTCACTTTTCCAGACTGGGAGTTTCCCAGAATTCTTTTTTGCTCCACTTACCACGTGGATGGGCGTTCCACAAGTAAAGAACACCAGAGATAATACATTTAAGAATCACTTGGTTAAACAGGGGTTTTAATACAGGACTTTTCAGAGCCTTTGCTTATGCAAATATACATTAGGAACCTCCAGCGATGGCCCTTGGCATCCTGTGTGTCTGAGATCTCCATCGGGAGGAGTGGTATCGATTTGCTCGCTGACTTGAATGGGGGATGTCTCCCTGCGGGGAAATGTACTCGCCACTTTCAGAACTGCCAGATCTCGGGGGGAAGTGTGGCTCCAGATGGAGGAGTTCAGCGACGCGCATTGACCACAGAATTCACAAAGCCTTGCGCCTAGATGGGTATCTTGCATAACACACGTTGGGAAATGCGCCCAGCCATTTTTTTCCCCTCTAGAATTACATACACTGGCTTTCATTAAAAGACCGTTCTCCAAGCTGCCTTTGTGAAGTCGGTGTCCGTTCCTTCCGTCCTGTTTTTATTGGGTGGAGAGGACGGTCCATGTATGGGTGTGTAACTCACTCCCCCCCAGGCCTTGATGGGACAACCTGAGAGGCCCCGAGATTCCAGAAGAGGAACTCTCCATCTGGTCTGGGCTGCCTTCCCATTGTTCAGAGAAGGGGCCTGAGGCCCAGAGATAGAAATGACTTGGCCAAGGTCACACAGCGCCTTGGACGCAGGCCTGGAATCCAGAACCTCACCCCAGGCCCGGTCTGTCTCCTGTTCTCCGCCGGGCAAGGCTGAGTCCCTCACATGCTGTTTTTACAGCCCGAGCTGGTTCGCCTCCAATTATTACTGAAATGAGTGGAGGTTTCCGGGAACGGAGTGCATCCATGGAGTTTAATTAATGAACGTGCCCGAGGGCTTGGCCGCTGGATTCCTGTGTTTACCCGGGCTTGGCTGGCACGCAGTCCCAGAACTGCGGGGATGGAGGGCCCGTCTCCCCCCCACCCCTGCCCTCCTGGTAGAGTGTGTGCGTGTGTGTGCGTGTGTGCGCGCGCGCGTGCGTGTGTGCATGTGCACGCGCCTGTGTGTGCGTGTGTGTGCACCCGCTTCCCCCACCGCCTTTACAGCCCTGTGACTGCATAAGCTTTTCCATATTGCTTTTTAAAGTGCTGGCATTTGTTTTTTTCGCATTCTCTATCAATTTGTCGAAAGGAGATTGTCCCTTGGAGACCCTGGAAATGGAAGTGTCTGTGACATTGTTGTTGTGGGTTCTGTTGTCCGCACGCTGGACCAGGTGGGAGCCTGGGGGGCGCAGTAAGGCTGAGATAACTGGCTGCTGAGCTCAGAGAGGGGCGGCTGAAGACGGCGGCTTCGCAGCTTTGCCAGGCTGGCCTCGGAGTGGCCACAAGGCTCGGGGTGGGACAGACCGGGTTTAAAGCCGAGATCAGCCACTTGCCACCTCTGTCTCCTGGGGCAAACTCCTTAACGTCTCTGAATCTCAGTTCCTTCTTGGGTAAGATGGGGGTGATAATTTTATGTTTGTATCTGTCACAGACTTAACGTAAAGACTATATGACCTAATGGGGGGAGAGCACTTAGCAGAATGTCGCGTAGCAAATACTCTGTAAATGTCAGCAATTATCATAATCTTCCTCAGACACATTCCACTTTAAAGGTGTGACAGCCGAATCCTGGAGAGAGTCATGTACTTGCCAAAGGGTTAGCATAATGTTAAGATGAGCCGTTTGTTTGTGACAGTCCCCCAGGCGCCACCGTTTCCTCTCTGCCCACAGAGCTGAGGGGTCCTGGGCACTCCGGGCCGGGGCATGCGGATGCCTTTCCTTGCGTGGATTTCGTGCGCTGCTTCCGGTAGCGGTCGCTGCTTGTTTCTCCCTCTGCGTTCACACTTTGGAAATTTCCTTCCTACTCCTGAAGCCTAAAGAATGGATGCCAGACGTGTGACTAATTAACGCCTCTTAAGCGGGGAAATATGACCTTTTAGATGTCATTAAAATGGCAGCCACCAAGGGAAGGTGGCTCTGCACGTCACGTGGCTGTGCGCTGGGTGTCAGCTCCGGAAGTGGACGACGAGAGCACTTCCTCCCTGGCCGACCCCTTGGATCCCGTGTCTTCCCCCCGTTCACGGGGCAGAGGGGTGGGGGGGGCTCGACAACAGCCGTGTGAGGAGCGCGGCCGTGACCTACAATAGTGGCCCCTGACATTTACTGAGTGCTTACGATGCGGCAGGCCCTGTGCCAGGTGCCTTGAGGCTTTTGAGCCTTACAGGCATCCCGCGAGCTGGGTGTTGCTTTACAGTTGTGGGCACTGAGGCTCAGGGAGGTGAAATGCCCTGCTCAGGGTCACCCAGCTGAGGGGCTGCAGAATCAGCATTTGACCGAGGGCTTCGGACTTGAGCCTGAGAGCATAGCCCCTGTGCTATCCCGGAGCTGTCAACTCTGCCACTAACTTGTGCCCGGCCTGATTTACAGGAGGAACGGGACAGGAGCTGCTGTTCCGGATGTAGCTGCCTGTGTGCCAGCTGTGTGAGCCCTTTACCTATATACATATGTCTCCCCCCCCCTTTTTTTTTTTAAAGATTTTATTTTTTTTTCCTTTTTCTCCCCAAAGCCCCCTAGTACATAGTTGTATATTCTTCATTGTGGGTCCTTCTAGTTGTGGCATGTGGGACGCTGCCTCAGCATGGTTTGATGAGCAGTGCTATGTCCACGCCCAGGATTCAAACCAACACTGGGCCACGTGCAGCGGAGCGCACGAACTTAACCGCTCGGCCACAGGGCCAGCCTCCATATGTCTCCCCTTTTGCATTCTCTTTTATATATTCCCTTCTGTCTCTCTCTCTCACGCGTACACACATACATACACACATATGCACACTATTAGCATTCTGATCCCTGCTTTTCGGATGAAGAAGTCAAGGCTCAGAGACATCAAGGGGCTTACCCAGATCACACAGCCAGGAAGCATCAGAATTTGAACCCAGGTCTTGGTGATTCTGAGCCCAAGCTTTCTTCCACACTGAGCCAGACTGTGGCGATTCTGATCCTGTCCCCACAGAGGAGAAGGGACAATGTGAACCCAGAGCTTGGCATCACGGAAACAGCTCTAGACCAGCAGTCAGGGAGCCTGGAACTTAGACCCGATTCTGAGAGGACCCCGCTGTGGGGCCAGAGAAAATCCTGCCCCTGGTTTTTGAGCCTCTTTCGCCCACTGGCATCGCATGTGTATTCTGATTATAGCACAGGATGCCTGGATGCGTCTCCTGGAGGGGAGGAGGCTCAGGGCAGACCTCAGAGGGTGCCCCGGGGTAGCGGAATGAAACTCCTCTGTTCTGTGTGTCTCCCAGGCACAACTTGGGCCAGTCATGGGGTTTTTCCTTAGCCACAAAGAGAAACTTTTCCCTGACAGCAGAGCAGATGGGTCCCATCACTGGGATACATTTTTGAGGCTGTGGACATTCCGTGATACAACTACTGTGGACATTGGGGATTGTGAAATGGTGAGTCTCCTGTCCCTGGAGGAAAGCAAGTAGAGGCTGGATGCTCTAGATGCCAGGTAGAGTTAGAATGACCTCTCAAATACTTTTCAATCCTGTAATCCCGTGATTCTGATAAAAGATAACCAGCGCGTGAGCCCATCGCAGGGTACCACATAGATCTCTGCCCACCTCCTACCTCTGAATGACCAGCAGTGGCTGCCTGGGGATTCTCAGGGCATGTGGGGCTCAGTTCTGTAATTGACTGTTGATGTCTGCCACGGGCAAGCAAGGGCGTGTTGGTCCTGATTTTCTACTTTTTGCTGTTTTCTAAAGAGTAACGCTTTGTGTTTCCGACATGAAATTATTACTATATTTTTTAAAATCTGGGGACGGGAGGGCACGGATGTCAGCAGCCATAGTAGCAGCCGCCATCAGCTCCCATGCCCAGAGTTCTGTGTCCTGCATTTCCAGGCGTGGGGTCTGTCTGTAAAGGTCGGAGGCTTTAGGAAAGCATCCTGGGCTCACGGAATGGTCATTATTCCCCTTGGTTCCCCTCAGTCTGGGAGAATCTGGCACTAGCTAGTAACTGAGATTAACAGAAGTGGGTACCTAACGAGAACGTTTGCGATGAATCTCTGCTATTTCTTGACGGGACCATTGCATCCCTCGCTAACCGTCAAAGCTTGTTAGTGACCAGTAGGCAAATTGGACGTGTGCTGGGGAGTCCAGACGAGCCTCGTTTACTGACTTCTCTGAGTCTCTTTTTCTCTTTCTGCTCGATTACTGCTATTAGCCGTCGTGTTCTCATCAAGTGATTTCCTTTCAAAGCAAAATAAAAATTGCTCATCCTTTCCTGGCAGAGTCTGTCCTCCTGGCAGGCCCCACGCATAGCTGGGAAAGTTTCCAGTAAGTAAATAGTTTCCCATGGGGGAGACTGAGACCCAGAGAGGTTAAGCACTTATGCCTGAGGTCACACAGCTGAAAAGCAGCAGAGCTGGGCCATCTGCCTCAGAAGCTCCCGCTCTTAGATATGTCAAGCGAATTGAATGGCTGTCCTGCAGTAGATGTGCAGTACGTGATGGCTCATTTTCCTTGTCCTTGTCTCAAAAATCGTCTGCCTCTGTATCTGTCAGGATGGGCTAGGTTATGCTGCTGTGACAAACAGCCCCTCCAGAATTTCAGTGGCTTAAAACAGAAACGTAGGCTCCTTTCGTGAGTGCTTTACGTGTCCCCTGACATTGGCTATGTCTGTGTTTCATGTCATTGTCACTCCGGGGCCCTGGTTGATGGAGCAGCTTGCTTGGGACACTGCCAACCACGTGCCTGAGGGAAAGAGAACATGGCCAGCGATACAGTGACTCGTAAAGTTTCTGCCCGGAAAGAGATGACGTCACTTCTACTCACATTTCACAAGCCCGGGCCAGTCACATGCCCACACCTGCGTCCCAGAGAGGTGTGTCGTCCCACAGGGAGGGGCGGTAAATGTGTGCTCGTCATACGGTCTGCCCGCCATGGTCTTGGCCTGCTCTTTATGGGTTCATTTGAAGCACTGTTTGCACAGATCTGTTTTTCCCATCTCTCTAGCGTGAGCCCCCTTTGGGGTTAACTCTGTCTGTGTTTCTTGGTTTTATCAAGGCGCCCCGAATGGAACACACACCTGAGTCCAGCACACTTTCGGGCCCCCACATTCCCGTTCGTTTCTTCGTCTGTTGGTTCGTCCTGGAGGTGGACTGCCAACCTGCAGTGGTGGAAAAACCTTCAAATCCCAGAGTCCTTCACAGGAATTCAGAGTTCTTTAAAGAAAGACGGGCTGGTCTCTCTCCAACCCACTGAGGCGTTGCTGCACAGACCTTGGGGCCTGGGTTACTCCAGGTGGGCAGCATTTATCGAGCGCCTGCTGTGTGCCAGATGGTTCCATGTCAGATTCAGATCAGAGTGGTCTGTGGTTACAGGCTGCTAAGAGGGTTCTGTCCTTGGGGGGCTTGGCAATTCCACCCCCTGCCTGTTCTCCCCCCGCCACCCCCACCCCGCCCCGAGGAAAGGTAAACCCAGCGTCAGTGCTTAAGCAGCGAGAAGCCCCAGGCAGCTGCACGCCCCTCCCCAGCCCTTGACTGAGAAGCACATATGGGGTCCAGGCACAGTAAGGGGCCCCCTGAGCATTTGTACTCGTCTCTTCTCGGTTGGGCGTTCCAGGAATGCTGCTCTGAAGGTACTTATAAAAGGAACGCTCGCTGCCTGGGGTGCCCAGAGAGGCAATTACATAGCAAGAACGGGGAGCCGAGGCCCTCTTGACGTGGCTCACCTGGGAAGGCCACGGGAGGTGGCGGCTCGGCAGGCTGCAGCCTCCAGCTTTGCTCCTGTGAGGAGGAGCCAGAGTAGGAGCAGGCCTGCCTGTCACAAGGGAGGCCATAGGAGGTGGGAGGAGAGGCTGGATGGTGTGTAGATAGGGGTCCGACATACTCAGCCTCGGATCCTGACTCTGCCGTCTACTTGCTGTGTGACCTTGAGGAAATCACGTCACCTCTCTGAGCCTTCGTTTTCTCCTCTAAAAACGACATTAACACTATCCAGTTGTCAAAGATGTCGTAAGGATTTGAGACCATTCATCTCTTCAGCAAATTCTTGTTGTGAGCCTACTGTGTGCTGGAGATACATCAGGGAACAAGACAGACATGGTCCCTGCCCGCATGCAGTTTACTTTCCAGTTGAGGTGGGGGAAGGAGACAGTAAACAACATGAATTTGTCATCTCGCGGGTTTTATAGGTCAGGAACCAGGCACAGCTTAGCTGGGCTCTCCGCTGAGGGTCTCACGAGGCTGCAGTCAGGGTGTGAGCTGGGCTGCGTTCTCATCTGGAGGGTTGACTGGGGGAGAAGCTACTCCCAAGGCTGCTCTGGTTGTTGGCAGATATCAGGTCGATGCTGGTGAGGACAGAGGCCCCTGACTGTCAGCCGGGGGCCACCCCCCGTCCTTGCCACGTGGTGTCTCTGCACGGCCCCTTACTCCAGCAAGCCAGCAGGGAGATCTCAGAGCGAGTCAGCCTGCGAGACCGAGCCTTAGATGATGTCGTGCCCTGTCCCCTCATCACGGGAGAGCAGCCTGTCCCCTTTGCCGCATCGTCTTGGTTAGAGGCAGGTCACAGGTCCCGCCCACCCTCGGGGGGAGGGGGTCACGAAAGGTGGGCAATGTGGGGGCCACTTTAGGGTCTGT